CTTGTCTAGTTGTTTAAATTTCTTTGTTTGTCTTTTGTTTCTCCGGATTTTCCTTTCGATCTCAGGATCAAAAAGCAGTGTCTCTTTTGAAATTTTACCTCACATAGACAAATTTTACAGACATAACCAAACGAAAGCTAGCATAAGGAAGGATAAAGAATATATATATATATATATATATATATATATATATATATATATATATATATATATATATATATATATATATATATATATATATATATATATATATATATATATATATATATATATATATATATATATATATATATATATATATATATATATATATATATATATATATATATATATATATATATATATATATATATATATATATATATATATATATATATATATATATATATATATATATATATATATAAACAAAAATGCACAAACTTAAAACGATAAAAAATGTCGCTTACTTGTATTATCTAAACGCCACTCCCCGGCAACGACGCCATTTCGATGCTCAGTTATCAAAAGTTAGTATATGATATCGTATCCACAAGAACTGGTGCGATACTACAACTGATTAACAGTTAATTGACTCTTTAATTGTCTTTTGAAAATGGTTTGATTGTAACTATTCGATAATTTAAAAATGTAAGAAACCATAATTTATAAAATGAGTTTCACAAATGATAAAATGTGCTAGGATTTAATTTTTATCCACCGAATAAATATGAATTCATCGATCACTTTCAACTATACTTGCGTTGTTTATTAATATCATCACGTATTCTCACAACAGGTTTTATTTCTAAATCCATATCAAGACTGCTGCTGTATTGTTTGATCAACGATTTCTCAATCTATCAAACAATATGATAGTATGAATCTTTGATACTACGTGTGAATGTCATACTCTAATCCTATGTCTAGCGATTCGAGTTTAACACATATTATCTTAGATCAGGATTGAAAAAGTACTTATCAAAAGCAATTTAAATCCATAAAGTTAATCGATAAAACGAAGATAATATTTGATAAATATAAACAACTGGACTATAATATATGATGATCAACGAGTACACATACAATTCAACAGATTACAATTCAATCCCAACACAAGAGAGAAATTAGCTAGCCTTCATCATGGTAGCCTGATTAATCCTCAGGGAATTGAAATGAATAAGCATCAAATGCAACTTCCAACTATGATGTGTATTTAGCTCGTATCCTCAATTGTCAAACTTCTCTCTTTTGATATCTGTTATATGTTCTCAGAAAAATTATGTCTCCCATCAGAATGTGTTTTAGCCCCTTTTATACTGCCTGAGTTTTAGTTAACTTGGCTTAGCGAAGTAAGGCTCGCTAAGCGAAGTGGCCTTTCTTCACCCTGAAGTATTTTCAAACCGCCTTATTTCGCTTAGCAAAGTGTTGCTCGACAAGCAAAGTTTCTTCCCTGCTACTCGCTTCAAACGAACTTTGGTGATTTTGCTTATGTTTTATTTCGCTTCATCTCACTTAGCGAAGTTGCTTTTGCCTTTGCTTCGCTTCCTTTCACTTCAAGCGAACTTGGGTGATTTTTCTTTTGTTTCCCTTCGATTCATCTCGCTTCATCTTGCTTAGCGAGGTTACTTTTTCCTTTGCTTCGCTTCCTCTCGCTTCAAGCGAAATCAGTGTGTTTGGCTTCTGTTTGGTTTTTCTTAGCAAGCTAAGCTTCTCTAAACGAAGTTTGCAAGACATTTCTTCCTTAGTGTTGAATCTGGCGTGATTTTCAGAGAATCCTTCATATTTCACAACTCATCTCAAAAATACCACATGCTAATGTAAAGCCATGAAGAATTGTGTAAAACATCGGTGGTTGAATCAATTAACGTCAAGTTTCGTCCAAAGAATCACTGCCATTTGGGCATTTATCAATACCATACATAAGCGATGTGATATGTTTTATGATACAAATCTAATTAATATTAATTTATGCTACAAATCTATGAGTGATACGACTTACATTTTTCTTTTCTTTTCTGTTTTCATGTTCCTTTATGTTGATATAATTATTTAATGTTATGTCAATATTTATTTATTCAAATATTATGGGATTCAAATCTATTTCAAAAAGATGAAGTTTAAAATGTTCAAGAACATTGTGCAAACATGATATTGGAACATATTGAAGCAAGTGTGAACAATCATATGAATTAGTTGCAATTATGTGTTAGATGTTGGTTGTTTGGACGATGATATGATCTTTTTAGGCCAGTCTTTAAGGTTTTTAGTTTTGATTTTATTTTGATAAGTACATAGTTGTTGTTTCATCTAAGTAGTTACTCTTGTTTATGCCTTTTGATACGACTAGTGTTATCTCTGTTGAGTTTACATTTAGTACAACTTACCTGCTAGTGCGGTAGTTATGTATCTATTTTGATTACAATAATATTTTAATTTGATATGAAAATATTTTTATTTCTATGATTTTATTTTGAAGTCTGAGTGAGATATATAGAACAAAATGATAATACGATGTTGTATTATTATTATTATTTTGTCTATGGTATTGATTTGTTGTTTTTGTTAGTTTTTTAAAAAGTATATATTTGTCAATTAATAAAAAAGTGTTATTACCAAAAAAAAATGTGTATGAAAAAAATCCAACTTATTAGATCGATTAAATATATTTGATTTAAGAGAGAAACTTCTTAAGTCGGATACAAATGAATTCAATGTTTTCTGAAAGTCTAGACTCATTAAGTCAAACGTTGTTTAACATATCTAATAACCTTTTTTTTTAAGTCAAGTCCAAATTTGACTTAAGAAATCAATCCTTCTTATATTGGCAAATCTTAAATCAGGCTCGAAACCATCTTAACAAATCATTTTCAACTAACTTAACAATTTTTTTTTTCTACTATGATAATCTCATTATTGACTTGTGAAGTGAACTAGATTGTAAATTAAAAATCTAAAAATAAATAGCATTTATGTGTGCATCCGTAAAATTTTAATATAATTATTAAAATATATTGTAGAAATATTTATATTTAATATTATATTTCACTGTTTTTATTTAATTATATTAATTATTTATCAATTTCAAGCATTGATTAGTGATCAAACTTATTAATAAAAATAATTATATTTTTAATTGAATAGTTAATTATATATTTGATTAATTAATATAAATTTAATATGAGTATGATAATCATCACACTATATATAAATTATAACCTTCAATATATAAAATACATGTTTTATATTCTCTTTTTTCAGAGTATTAAAGACATGAAAAACTCAAATTAAAAAAGACTTACTATAGAAGTTCGTTCTTTTATAGGAGTATAGTTTAGCATTGATGTTCTTAGCTAAGACTTTTGGCTTTAGTTCTCAGAATGTTTAATATAATGTTTTAAAAATCAAATCGGTTATTAAATTGGTAAGAATATTAAATTATTGATTTATTGATGGAATCACATGATTAAATTGAATTAAATTGAATAATTTAGTTGTATAATGAAACTATATAATAATTAAATCAATTGACTCGATCTTTAAAAAAAATTCAACACTTACATAATTTTAAAATATCATAATAATTATACAAATTGATTCTTTAAAGTCAAATTATAAACATAGGCATCACACATGACAAAATATTAATTCAAATATACTTTGAACAAATCTAGCTAATTCTAAGATAATAAATTGAATAACTAAATAAGTGATTGTGTCTAGTAAATTTAATTATAATGAGAATAAGTTGTTTCAAAAAAAATTTGAACAAAATTTATTTATATTTTAATTTTAATTTTAAAAAAATTTATCAAAAACAATATTGTTTTATTTAAAAAAATAAAACATGCATTTAACTCGTCGATTTTTTAAAACTTCGAGTTGCCGCTTTTTATTAGTTTTGACCAACTCTAACTGATTTTCACTAGTTCAATAATTTATTTGATCTAACAATTAGACCAAATTAAATTTTTTTTAATTTTTAGTTCAACCTGTTCGACCGACCGAGTCTTTTCTATTTTTAAAATACGGCTCGCGACTACTTTGAAATTTTTTTCCATAAATTAAAATTTTTCTATAATCTTTATGTATGGTGGGTGATGTATGATTCATGATTAGGTTAATTTAAACACTAATGCTATAGTGTTGCTTAAAATTCACGTGTAGTGTAGAGACAAATTATGAAATGAAAAGAGAATAGTTTAAAAGTTCACCGATAGAATGCTCTTATAAGTATCATGATACACCCTGGACAGTGGACACTTTCTTCTCCTGGTGTCATAGACATATATACCTGTGGCATGTGATTTGTGAGTCAGGAACTGCAACGCATGTGATTGCTTTGCTTGTGCGGTTTTGCAACTTCCATACTCATTTTGGTGCTTTTGGCACATAGAAGAACATTCACCAATCAAGTACCCGTCACTGCTACCAATACATGTTCGTAAACGTGATTTACTAAACCTTGGAAAATAGGTCTATATTCTCATTGGAAAGAAAAATGAGATATGAGCTTTACTATGCTCTTTCTCCATCCATGTCTACTATATCATTTTAATTATAATAATAAAGATAATTATGGATTATATAGAATTATTAATCTCCGTCGGTTAATTTATTTCGATTAAGAGACGAAAATGATTGGTTATTCATTGTTGAATTACATTTTATATATTATATTTTCAAAAGATATAATATATATATATATGAAGTAGCATTAAACATATTTCTTTTTAAAGTTCTTGATATTCGCAAAAACAAAAGAAAACATATTTATGTGTTATAGGTGAGAAGATGAAGCATTAATAAAAATTAATAAGTAATAAATCAACCATGCATTTGGCTTCTGTATTAAGTAAATTGATTATAAAGTTGGAAAAAGTAAAGTAATCCAACCGTTCACATAGTAGACCACCCCACTCACATTCCTCTCAAAAACATTCCCTTTTCCTACACAAGCTTCCAACTCTCATCATCTCTCTCTCTCAACTTATTTTCAGTATCATCTTCATCATCCATCCATGGACACAACTCAATGGCCTCAGGTAATAAATTAATCAAGCCATGCACTTTTCTTCATGAAACTTCAAGATTTTCCATGTATATTTTTCTTTCACTTTTTAACTTTTTCTTTTGCTTTTTTCCATAAAGACCTTCAACATTTCTTAGTCTCTTCTTTTCATGTATTTATTGTATCTTGAATTGAAGGAGATTGTGGTGAAGCCATTAGCAACAAACACAAGTGAAAAGAAACCAAGGCCAGAAAAACAACAAGCTGTGAATTGTCCAAGGTGCAATTCAGTCAACACAAAATTCTGTTACTACAACAACTATAGCTTAACACAACCAAGATACTTCTGCAAAACCTGTAGAAGGTACTGGACTCAAGGTGGATCCATTAGAAACATTCCTGTTGGAGGTGGAACAAGAAAAAACAACAAAGTTATTAGATCTTCTTCTAACCTTGTTTCAAATGCAACAAAAAACCTAGTTCCTAGTATTCTTGTTAGTTCTCAAAACCAAGACCACAATAAGATCCATCATGAACAAGGACAAGATCTAAATATGGATTTCACTTCTGTTTCTTCTCATAGTTTTTCAGCATTGGAGCTTCTTACTGGGATGACTTCTTCAACTTCAAGGAATTTTCATTCTTTTATGCCGGTTCAACTTCAAGCTGATTCCAACACTATTGGGGTTCCTTTGCAAGATTTTAAGCAAGTGCCAATGAATTTTTGTTTAGATGGGATTGTTGGAAATGGTTATGAAAATGAAGGAAGGGTTTTGTTTCCTTTTGAGGATTTAAAACAAGATTTGGATCAGAATAATAGTAAGGGAGATCAACAAGGTTACACAACTGGGTTTTGGAATGGAATTTTAGGAGGAGGATATAATGGTAATTAATTAAGGATCATCAATATGTTTCTTAGTATTGCTAACTTAATTTCTTCTTTCAATTTCTAGCACTAGTTGTTGTTGAATTATCTATAGGAATTAAGGATGAAAAAAAATAATTGATCTTTAATTTTAGTGTTTATGAAAACTAGTGATGGAACTAGAGTGTTTTTTTTTTTAAATTTTGTATGTTTTGTTTCTCATTGTTACTTCAACTTATTTTTAGTGATGTTTAATGTATTCTCAATTTTATTTTGATTTTTCTTCCTTTAAAACACTATTTACATTCAAGTTTTAAAATAATAGTGATCAAGGTCTAATTAACCCCTAACTATTTTAGGGTTACGGGAATCTCACATTAAAAAAAATGTTTAATGTACTTAAGACATGAAGCTGTTTAAAGATATAATTAAAGTACTTCATTGAATACTAATAAGAGAGTGAATTTTCTAAAAAGAAAATAATTACTATAGGATCAATGTCGATATATTGAAAGTCATCAATCATCATGTATATTGTTGGCCTCTAAAGAGATATAATCAATAAAAAATCAAGTAGTAAAATAATGAATAAATATTGTAAGTAAGAATATTATGAGTAAGTAAATATCATAAAATATGCCATCAAACATTTTCCCTACTAATATGGAAGGATTCGTAACAAATATTATTAATTAAAATTAGAGTTTAATTCATTGAAATATTTTGTGGTGTTTTGGCCTCAAATTGATTGAAGTCAAGTTAAATTCGTCTCAATTCGACTCGATTTGGTAAGAATTAGTTTAATTTAAATCTTGATTTGAATTTGACACAAATTTTTTCTTATGTTCAAATTCGAGTCATTATAAATTCACGAAAAATTTGATTCAATTTATTAGGTTTAACTCACTTGTTTCACGGATTTAAAAGTTATTTTTTAAATCTATTTTTTTAAGAATTTAATTCAAATGTACTGACACTGTCATCCAATAGAAATGCATGAATCTGTCATGTCATATTAATAATTTAAAATTTACAGTGTGATGTGGCGGGATACATGATAGTGATTAATTGATAGTGTAAAAAATCTTTACATTGTCGATGCATATAAATTAAATTCTTTTTTATATATATTTGACATTTTAAAATAATATTTAAAAAAAATATTGAAATAAAATAGAAGTTATCAAATTATAATTTAACTTTGTCTTAAATATCTACTAATTCAAAAATTATACAATTTTCAAGAGACACATTTAAAAGTCTAATTCAAAAACTACTCAATTAGAGTTTAAATTTGACTAAAAAATACACAAATTCACTTAAATATTTAGGAACCTTACAAATTTAAAACTATATTTAACTAATAAATAAAATAACAATAATAATACAAATAAAATATAATTAAAAGCAATATTTATTTATTTAGGTAATAAAACAAGTACATTAAACCCCATCTAACCTTGATTTTGACCTAGTCGATGAAAGCATTGATGGGTCCCACATGTAGGAGTTTGTCCAATTTAGGTAGATTTTTTTACGATTTTCATCAACATTTGTTGGCCAAGGAAAAGACCTTGCATAATTTATAAGATCCTTTAATTTAGCCACAATTTCATCATTTAATAAGTCAATCACCGCCGCGCACTGCCATAACTTAATCGGGTTCCTTGGTTATTCCACTTTTGTTGGGTAGTAGGCGACATTGAGCTATGCATGAAAGGGATGTAGGGTAGTTGGTCTTGGGATGAATTTTGGGTGAAGTTTAGTGAATGGTAAAAAGGAAATTTTGGTTGGACTGTTTGATAGTTGTGTTCTTTCGGGATAGGTTGTGTGAATGAGTATTGGTTATAGTGGGTGTTTGGTGGTGTTTGTGGTTGGGTGTATGATGTCGAGGGGGTAAAAATTGGGTTTTGTTGTTGGGTGTTGTAGCGAGTTAGGTTAAATGATGACTATTGTTTATGGTAGTGTTGGCTTAGGGTATAAGGTTGTTGTGTTGGGTGTAAGTGTTGGTTGATGGTTTGTTGTGTTGGAAGTTTGAAGACGTGAGTTGGTTACGAGGGTCAAATAGGTATCTATTTTGCGATAGATACAAATTGGACACAAATATATATATATTAATCCATGTATTTCCTACTAGGTTTACATTCTTTTGGCATGATATCTCCTTGTAAGACAGTGTTGCGATGATTTTTCCATTGATTTGGAAATTTCCATTAGTCTGATGTCTGACTTATGCAGTACTCCTCCATGGACCTAGGTGGAGCCGAAATTTCTTGTTGAATCCCAAATTGGAGTTTAACCATATCAAAATGATGCATTTTAATAGTAGTGAAATAAATTAAAAACATTGTTGAGATCCACATATCACTTTCAGTTGGACCCTCATATATAAGTCTAAGATAGGACCTCCATAGAAACTGTTACATAGAAACTGTACATGTCTACTGTATTAGACACAGTGCTCAAAATTTCATGAGGAAAATTAAAGATAGAAACCTCCGAAAAAAAGTTATTAACATGGTTAAGTATTAATTTGTTAACATTATATCTTAGTCAATAAAAGATTATAACATTATAACACTTACTTGTAACATACAATGTATGCTTTAAACCGACCAACATTCGAATACTACCAAAAATAAATTGCATTAGCTAATGCCGATGTTTTAAGGAGGTTGGACAATAATCCAGTTTAAAAATGGACGTGTGCATTTGACAAGGGCCGACGTTAGGATCACATGACAATGAACCTCATTAATTCAACGAACTCGGTGTTTAAAGACACTCGTAATCTTCCCTCACAACATTGGTAAGTGCAACCTACTATAGGATGAGGTCACTATTTGTGGAAAGAGGTGCACAATGGAGTGCTGTGTTGGAATATGGCCAAACATTTATAGAAAATTGCATGAAGGTGATGAGAGAAGAAACAAAAAAAAATCCAAAATGCACCAGGTAACGTCTTTTGACTATCAACATCATACTTTTAGTGTGAAAGAGATGATGGACCACAGTGAGGGAAAGACTATGGGACTTTACAAGGTCGGCCTGTTAAATGGCTATAGTGACTTAAAAAAGTTTCAAGCTTACCGTGTTTCTTGTTCAGATGCTATCGTTGCATGTTCTAGTGTACACTAAGACGCATATACTCATTTGTCCAACGTTTACAAGGTCGCAAACCTATTTGGGGTTTATAAGACAAGCTTTCAAGTGCTACCATACGAGGAATATTGTCCTGTTTATGAAGGAGATCAAATGTTCCATGATCCAAGTATGTGGTGGAACAAGAATGGCGGTCCTGTAAGCACGTGTATTAGAACATAAATGGACACAACTGATAAGTTGTATAGGAAATATGGATTGTGTCGTCTTCCTGGTCAACACCGAACTCGGTGTCCCACTGTTGGAACTAGTAATAATAAAATTTTTTCGTTGTGCAATATCAATTTTAGATTACCACCAACCGTTAATTAAGTATTTATGCAATCACTAAATGAAGTTTTTTTAATACAAAGATCTTTCACATTAATAATAGATAACAAGACAAATAACACTCAACACCACAGATTACCATCATAAAATACAACACAAACAACAAATAAAAACACTTCACACCACAACGTTTCTAAGAGATTAGAACAATCAAAACAATATCATCACTTCCAGACATCATATCTCTGGCATTACTGCCATCTTTAAGTCGCACGCAAATACGCTGGACGCCATTGTTCACTACAATAAATCCTTCCTCCATTGACATGATTTTATGACGTGATAAACACGTGGCAAAAAAAGACAGTTGCGACGTGTTTATCCCGTCGCTATATTTTTTAATATTAAAAAAAAATAGAAGTCAGGTATTTAGATGGAAGAAGAAGAAGAAAAAAAATTTAAAAATTTTGTGACATGAAAAACATGTCGCAACATCCATTAGAAAAAAGAAAATAAAGGACGCCAAGTTTGAAATGGTGAGAGGTTTGAATTTTTTGAAAATTCATTTGTGGCATGTAAAATAAGTCGCAAATGAGATTTCAAATTTCAAAAAATAAAGAGGAAAAGGCTGACTGATTGAATTGATTACATAATAGGGTTGACTGACACCTTTACTTAGCGTCGTTGTATTCATGTCACAACATTATTAGAGTTGACAGTTGTGACGTGTTATTCACATTGCTATTCAACAAATTTATTTTTAATTTGCATTGTGAATAAGACGTCGGTGATGTGAATATATATAGTCACCACAAACCCATCGGTTTCACCTTATCCTTATGTTTCAAATTTGTTTCTCCTCTATTTTCTCTTCTTCCACCTTCCTTCTTCCACTTTCAGTTTCATTCTTCCAACCTCTTCTAAATTAAAATTCTATTTCATTCACCTTAAGTCTTCCAATTTTTATTAAAGGTATTATATATAATATTATACGTTGATTTTTTTTTTCATTTTTTGTATACTGATTTTTATCTTGATTTTTTTTAAGATTCAAGATTTGATCAAGACTCAAGAAGATTTGGTCAAGACAAAAGAAGATTATGCAAGCTTTATTGTTTATTCCTTGAGGTATTTTAGCTATTTTAATTTTTTTTCTTTCGATTTTAATGTATAAAATTATTGGGTTGTTGGTTATTAATATATAATATATATGTAGTTGTTTTTAATTTTTAATATATTTTAAAATAAATTTTCAAACCAAAAATATATTTTAAAATACTTTATAAATCCCAAAATATATTTATTTAGTTATCATTAAAAACAAAATATATTTTTTATTATTAAAAATCTAATATTTATTTTTTATAATAGAATATATTTTATTTTTATTAAAATAGAATATGCTATTTTTTATTTTTATTAAAAACAAAATTTGTTATATCATCTAAAAAATCATAAAGAAAATATTTACTTATTAGTTTTACACTAAGTATGATTACTTTAAATACAAATCATTAAAAACCCTAAAAATCAGTTTTATCCTTGATTTTTGTATTTGATTCTATTTTAATTCATAATTAATATATTCGGTTTATT